AGAACGCTGCCATGAATGGTTTGATACAGCTAATAGCAAGTCTGTAATGTATGATGGACAAATAGAAAAAGTAAATAAAAGAAAAGCAGACAGAATAATTACTATTTCTCATTGCAAAATTGAAGAAACCAATTCAGAAGTTGTTGGTTATTGCATGGAAAAGTTCCATTTTGCAGCTGATGTTATATCAAGAGATTTGATATTTTCATAAATTGATAAATGTGGTTTTAAATGTATACATATGACAGACTGTAATAGTATCAGTTTTGTTATATAAGTGTTTATTTTATATAAATAAAGATAAATGTTATGTTAAAAAATATGTATTAATTACAAATATATAAATAATGTACCGCAAGTGACTTGCAAAATAGGTACAGCTAAATGGTGCAAGTAGCGAAAAGGCAAATGAAAATAGTGTGACTTTCAAATTAGGTGTTGCAATTAGTGTGACTTGCAAAAAGATACCAAGTCATTCCAGGTATGACTAGCCTGTACATGTCAACTTTTTTATGCCTTTGTTAGTTTTTACATGTATAATACTGATTAAAATATTGTATGAGTAAATATGGAATGGATTTTTTTGGGGGTTTAAAATAGAATCAAAATGAAACTCAGCGTAGAGTCTTTCAAATTACGAAATGTTGTAATTTGTTAAAGTATTTATACAAAATATTGGATACATTATACATTATTATACATATATTATTATACATAGTCTTTTGTTTACTTTTTTTATAATGACTTTCGGTTTAGTTGACAAAAAATTAAAATAATGTAAAAATTTACAGAACTAAAAAATTAAAAATGACATGTCATGCTGAATGTTCATATCATGTTGGCATGAATTATCAAACTGCAAGTGGTTACTTGCAATTTTATCATAGATGGCTATGGTTTGCGTTCTAGTTATGTTTATCGTTAACAATGATTATTATGAAATTTCATTATCGAAATTTAAATTTTTTATCATATACTAAAAGCCATGACAAGTTAATTACAGTTTTTGCTCCCAAATAATATATAGTTTTTTATTTTTTATTAGATGAAAGGGAGAGGCGGTAAAATGCTTCATTTACTAAAAATATAGATACTTTGATGCATCTTGTGATGTGATAAAAAAAATTTATACCAATTTCTATTATTTTAAATAGTATCAATTTAAGTTTATTAAAATCGCATTTAAATTTATTTTAAGGTTGGAGTGGCGGGGGGAGGGTGCAGCGGCGAGGGCTTCCGCCCCTCACCTTAAGTCAGGACATATACTATTAGTATATGTTGTAAAGAAGTAAGTTATGATTTTTGTGTTTTATATTAGATTTGCTCATTTTAATAAAGATAAAAATATGTATACCAACTAGTCAATTTTGATAAAAAGCTGTGTTAAATCGCCACATGACCATCCATCCTTAAGTCAAAAATACACCTATCATATTTATCCGTGGTTTGAAAGCAAATAATAACAGTTTCTTGTATATAAAAGTTACAAATTTTGATAAAATAAGCTTGTATATATGTATATATACTGTGTGTATTTTATTTCATATAGTTCTTTTTTGCCTATAAAAAGATGTATTTTTATTTGATTAAGATACTTTGATTTTAACAAAATATGACAGGGCAAGATGGTAGACTCTTTATCTTGTCCCAACCAACTTGCCCCACTGACAGTTATTCTAATTTAAACTTTAATACATTTACTATATTAATTTTGAAAAATATTTTTTGTACCAAATAAAAATCTTATAGAATTCTATAGGTAGCGCAATCTGGAATAGTAAGGACCAAACTAAAAAAAAATTATTTCAAAAATCGTAAAAATAGACTTTTATGAATGAAACCAAGGAGCAATGTTTACAAAAACCATATGTTATTTAAGATAAGACCTGTATAACCAGTTTTTATTGCCATTTATTTAAACTATTTTTTATTGAACGGTTTGGCTAGGGAAGGTAGCTTTTCATCTTACCCCTTCGTCATGTTGCGCTGTTCTTCCCTAAATGCAAATGCAAAATGCAAGAAATTAGCGAAAAATTATTGACAGCAACAAATAAATAATTTCAGGAACCTTTTGTACCATTGACTAATTTACTTTTGATCAAAAGAAATATTATTTTATAGCTTCAAACTTTATTTTAATATAATTTTTTGTTGTTTTAATCCAAATTGTTAACATGTTTTGCCGCAAAAAAGACATTTGAAAAAAACTATAAAATTAAAAGTGGGCTTAATTTATGCTTAATTTATGCATTTTATTATTGAACTAATATAATATGTGTTTAATATCAAACTTTATTTTAATATAATTTAACTTTAAAATTTAACATTTAAAAATTTTCCATTTGTCAAGTCTATGATTCACCAATTGTAAAATTTATCTCACGGGTAAAATATATCTCACAATTGTAAAATATATCTCACAAAACATTCTACCTTTGACCCGTGAGATATATTTTACAATTGGTGAATCATAGACTAGTCAAGTGGAAAATTTTTAAATGTTAAATTTGCTGATAAATTTTAAATGTAGGGTAGATTAGGGTAATATGAGCACCTTGGTGATATGAGCATACTTAAAGATTTCTTAGATGTAAGCAGTGAAGTTAAAGTTGCTTTGTATTTTTCGAACCGACTTTATGTGGTGATAACAGGAACTAATACAATTAGCGTAAATTTATATGCAGTAATTAGTGGCTATCATCTAATTAAAACGCTGTTAATTTTTTTGCGTTGTTAAAATAATATCATCACGCATGAATAAATCTGTGGTGCGAAATTTTTGTGGTAAAATAATGAAATTAATTATATGAGTAATATGAGCACCTTTGCTACTTTTTTAAAACGTCTGTCTTTCTTAAATAAAATTTCGGGTGCCCAAATATCTAAATGGATTATATTTAGGGATCCCTAAAAGTTGTTTATTCGCAAAAATTTTGGAATCAGCTTAATTATTTTTGAAAATACTCCAATTTTTGCTTAAGGTGCTCATATTACCCTAATCTACCCTACCCTCATTTGCTAATGAATTTTAAATGCACCCTTATTTTCTAATAAATTTTAAATGTAACCTTATTTGCTTATAAAATTTAAGTGTACCCTTATTTGCTGATAAATTTTAAAAGTACCTTTAGTTGCTGATAAATTTTAAATGTTTAAAATTTATAAGAAGTTATTTAACGTAAGCATTACACATTAAAAAATACGCAACAAAACTGATATAAATATGTTATACAAGCATTAAACTATTCCAAAAAAACATTTTTGTAAACATATTGAAAATATATTAAAAAAGACATGTTAAAAATAAGAGAATAATACATAAAATTTTGAAATAACTTTAAAAAATGAATAATTGTGTTTGCTTGCTCATATAAACAACACCGTTAAGGAAGACAACGGAAAACTACCATGACATTTAAAAAGTGGATGACAATGGAACCATAGCATTTAAAAAGTAGGGTTATGATGCATATGATATTAAAGCAACTTTCGATAAAAAAAAAAAAAAGTTCGATGCAGCTTTGTCAGTTAGATTTAAAATAATTAAGACTATTTTGTTTACTTAGAGTACCTTAAGAATCATAAATGAACTTAAAAAAATAGTCAGTTTCTTCATACTTTGAAAGTTAAGTCTTTTTATTTACAATGGTCATAAATAAATAAATATAAAAAAAAAAATTTTTTTGTTCAGAAAGTATATAAAGCTGATCATCATCAACTTTGCCAAAACGAATATTTTTATTCCCACTGTCCTGCCGGTACCAGGATTTTGTTCCTTTAGTTTATTTGAAAAGAATGAAAAAAAATTTTGTTTTATTTCCTAAAACTGTAATTCTTTTAATATTTTAATTTTGTCTAATATATGTTGAGAATATCTCTGCCTGAATGATATATAGAATCATCGATAAAGGGCAATCTTGCCTTACTCCTCTAAAATCAAAAGCTTTCTGATAAATGGAAACAAATCTGATAAATGGAAATAGATCAGGTAAAATATGGATTCATTTTTGTTTCCTTTTTTATAAATAGATGTTATTATTGTCACTTTTTGAGAAAAGTCATTTCTCCCGTGTTTAGCACATTGTTTAAAAAGTCTATTAAATCTTTCCTTATCAAGAAACATTTTATAATACTCTATCGTTAGACCGTCATTTCCGGGTGACTTGTTGTTTTTCATTTGAGAGTTTTTCTTGTTTCTGATTCTGATATAACTTTATTTATTAAATTGTTTTCCGCTGAAGTCACTTTTCTAACGTTTGCGTTACAAAGTAAAAGTTCCTGAAAAGCGTAGGTAATTTTTTTAGTCATTTTTTAGTAATTTTTTTTATTTTTGTATAGTTATGATATCTTGAGGTAAATTTTAAATTTCGATGTATTTATTACTCATTATATATTGTTTTAGAGAGTTTTACTTTTATTACCTTTTTAAACAAGTTAAAATGGTGTTGTAGTTTATCCTCCTCCGGCTAATTGCCATATAGCGGCCATATACTAAGGCCCACCAAGACAAGCACAGCTGACAAAAGGGCATTATAACCCGCTTCGACAGACCAAGAAGTCGAGTTAGAGAGTTAGCTTATAGGATAGAGGATAGATATTGCACTAGATGTTAGAATGTGCATTATACATTAATTAGTTACGACTAATTAATGTATAACAAATCGATATGTATAATAACATTTTAAAATTTGCGATATGTGAACCAATTTGTCTACTACGTTAAACAAGTTCTTATTTTAATGACTGTAGACATTTTTATAACTGTTATAGTAGAGATGGAAATATGAAGTAAAAGCAATAATGATAAATATAGTGTTAATAAAAATGATATGACTATATTGTTATGATAAAGTAATAAAAATATGTATAATAACATTATACAGTATGAATAAAAACTAATTGTAGTTTTTACAACAAGAAATATAATTATAGCGACTATGAAAATAATTATTAAAATGAAAAAAAAGTATACACTAAAAAGATTAATAACACCAATCACGTGACAAATAATGTGATGCTATTTACTATTGTAGTATAAATGTTTAATACACTCAGGTCATATTTTTAAAAAACATAGCTATAACTGCAAATAAATCATAATTCGTCGCGTTTTCTACCGCTGAACTCCTGCTGGCTAATATATCCATTTTTGTCTCGATCTTCTTCTTCGAAAATTTCACGTAACATATGACGTAATCCGGACGGACCAGGCTCATCTCTTATACCAGAGAGCTGCAAGTATTCAAAAACCTCATCATGTGTTAACACATCGTCTCTATTTTTATCAATTAACTTAAACGTATTTTCAACACGAGGAGCGTTAGGAACCGCATGGAATGATAACAGTTCAACTATAAAATGTAAATTTACGCGAGAAGGTAAATTTCCTAATCCATTGTTCCCATAAGCATACTTTGGAGGAATTGTTAAAGACCTAATTTCGCCTTTACACATATCGCGCAAACCAGCTTCCCATCCTGAAATCATCTGATCTTCACCAAGTATAAACTCAAATGGCTTTTCCATATACCTATAAAAAAAAAAACTTTTTTGAAAAAAAATACCAATAATAAGTTAAGTTCATGATAGAATAATAATAACAGGTATTGTTTAATAAATTATGTATCTTTTTATTTGCGAGATAGCTCGCAATACAATACAGCTCACGATAAATGTGTTTTCTGTCATAAATTTATTGGATTTTAACTAATGGCTAATAAAAATTATTATCTACCAAATCTCATTAATATTTTCCCCTAATATAATCTAAAATAGTCTAATATAATAAAAAAGGTCCTTCAAGAGTGTATCAACCTGGGTCTCAATAAAGTTGTAAATAAGTCTAATTAAAAAATCCTTAAAAAATTTACTTTTTTATTTTTTGTTAAAAAGTCATAGTTTTTATACATTAAATAAAGAAAACTTTTATATAAATTAATATTACATTTTACTTGCATTTTTAATAGTACTAGAGACCTGTCAAATTTTTAATGGTCTTCGACATCTCTAATAATGTTATAAGGATATATTTGAAATCTTATATACGTGCAATATATATAAATATATATAATCTTACAGGAATATATTTGATATCTAATACACATACATATATATATATATATATATATATATATATATATATATATATATATATATATATATATATATATATATATATATATATATATATATATATATATATATATATATATATATATATATGTATATATATATATATATATATATATATATATATATATATATATATATATATATATATATATATATATATATATATATATATATATATATATATATATAGTGTATATGCACAAAACAGCATCACTAGGACAGCGTGTGTTTTATATATTCAGCGTATTTGTATATGTAAAGAAACTTACTTTGTATCGAATGGAGTACCATCACCCAAAGTACCATTAAATCTAAGTCTTAATAAATCTCCATCTTTTGTAGTTCTTTCACACACGGCTGGTCTCGAAATTAGTCCTATTCCAACTCCACCAAACATTTCGGAGGCATGGTTTTTTATGACCAAAGCAAAAAAAATAAATGCGTTGATCATTTCACAAAACTCTTTACTATACATTATTTAACTCAGAAAAAACTTAGTTACTGTTTTTACTTATGTGTACTCTTGCAACAGTTTATTTGTACTTTTGCAACATTCTTATAAAAACCTTTTGGTTGCCATAGTTTTTATTTTTTATAATTAAAAAGAATGTAAACAAAAAATATTTGATATTTGAATGATTTTTCGTATTATGTTAAAATTTCAATGAACAACAAAAATATCTTCTTTATTTTAAACTTTTTGAGCATTTGAGCATAAAAACTATTAACTAAAAAATAAAAATATTTTATTTAATTTAATTTTAAATAATTTATAAATGAAAAACAGTATCAACTATAAGTGTAACTTATATATATTTATTATTATTATTATATAATATATGGGGTCGTCCATAAAGTACGTACGCTCATAGGGGGGAGGGGGGGTCTTCAAAAAGCGTACAAAAGCGTATGGGGGGGGGGAGGAGGAGGGGTTGAATATAAAAGTACGTACGCACTAATTAAAAAAAGTAATTTTTCTTAGTTAATGCTTGTATTTCTAACTTATCACCACTAACAAATGCTTAACTATAACTAGATGTTTTTTAATAAATAACTAGATATTTTTGAATATAATAATAAATAAATAAATTTTTTTAAATAATAAAACCATGACCGTGACTTTGAAATGTCAGTTGGGGAGGGAGGGAAGTATACTTGCCCTTAAAAAAGATCTAATTACAATTTTTTTTTTGGAAACTTTAAAGTTCTTTTTACCAAAGGAACCTTAAAATTAGTAAAAGAAGTTTAAATTTAACAATAAAAACGTAATAAGTTTTAATGGGCTTGGTAAAAATGTTGTGGGTTTTTAGTATAGTAATCCACAACATTTAACCCAAATAAACGGGCAGGCACGTTTATTTGGCACCTCATATTTATTGTTTGATGTGTTTTATAAATGTAACAACTCATATACTTGATTACGTTTATTAGTTATTTAGGAATAGAGAAAGTTTTAATGATTTGCTTGCGATGGTCAAAACAATTGGTTTATCTCCAGCCTGAAATCTTTCTTTCAAAATTTTAATGTTACAGTTTCTTACATACCCTTCACCTATGTTGTTGTATCGCAATTAAAGTTGGAGAATAACTACGTGAAGATCTCAAAATTTGTTTTAGGTCTGAATGATGGATTCAGCTATACTAAAGTTGAGTTGGCTTCCCTGAAGTTGAATGCTTGAACCTTCTAGGATGGTAAAAATGATTCCAATTTATAAAAGGTATCAAATACCTGAAAAAAAGACAAAAAGATCATTGCTTTCACTCGGCATTTGGTAAAGTCAGGGCTGGTGGTAAGATCTTCCAGCCAAACCAGAAGTGATCTGTAGTTACTAGTAATAGGTATTAGAGATGGCTTGCGCATAATCAATCTGGTTGGGCAAAAAAGGACTAAATGAAGTTCCATTTTGGTGTCCATCTTTGCTTTCATTTTGGTCTTTTAGGTTTAAAAACCAAGCGAGTCTCTTTGGTAAGCCTATGATAAAAGCTATAAACTTTTAAACAAGTGACATGATATATAATAAAAATTACTTTAAAGCACTAGTATACAGCTTGAAAAAAATTTAATTGAGATCTGAAGTTTTCTTTTTATCTGAAAAATTGAAAATTTCCTCTTTCGTCAAGTTTTTTAAGTTTTTATATTAAATACGATTTTTTGGGTATGTTTATAGCAAAGGATTATTTCTTTCCTCGCTTTTTAAGAAAAAAATTTGATTTTTTCCTGTGATTTCTTTCTCTGTTTAAACAAAAAAAATCAAAATAATATTTATTATGAGATTGGATAAAACTTCAAAGGGGGCAAACAAATTTTTAAGGGGGGTTAGATTGACTCAAGGAGGGCAGCCTGCCACCGTTGCACCCATACTCTACGCCTATGGTACCAACGCTTCGCCAACTGTAACCTATTTAATTAATTTGATTCTAGTTACATTAAAGTCTAATATGTTGTTTTTATTTGTTTCTTAAAATTTTATTTATTGAAAGTTTTAACCTGCATAACATTGATATTTAAAATTATTAACTATAAAACTATAGTAACTTTAAAGAAGAAAACGTTAGTTGGGCTATTTCTGTAATCACCACTATATATATATATATATATATATATATTATATATATATATATATATATATATATATATATATATATATATATATATATATATATATATATATATATATATATATATATATATATATATATATATGTATATTAGAGGTGTACCGGACTGGAAATTTTGAATTCCGACCAGAACCCGATTTGTCGAATTTCTTAATGAAATAACGGCTGAAACAAGAATTTTTTTATTTTTTTTTTATCCATTTATTTAACCATAATATTAAAAATACAAATTTAATTATAATTTACAAAATTAGGTTCGGTGTCACTCATATAGTTTAAAACTAGTCAATGGAGTGACACCTTAACAAAATAATCAAATAAATCAAAAAACAAAAATATTATTATAAATTACAACTAACCAAACATAAATTAGTAAAAAATAAATAAGACGAAGACATAAAAACAATAAAGATTGCAATTTAAACGAAAGATGTTAAAAAAATAAAAATCATTAAAAATTGGTAAAGTAATATAAAAACAGAGTAACAAACCAGAGAGAATTAGCGGATAAGATGACATAAGAGAGATTGAATGTTTTAGATAACACATGTTTAAAAAGATATGCTTTGAAGAAAGAGACTGAGAGAAAATAATATTGTAAACAAACACAAATAAGCAAAATAAATAAAAAAATAAAATTACAAATATTTAAATAAAAAGTATACATTATACACTTCTACATACAATATACAACACGTTACATGTGTTAGTTAAAAACAGTAAACGACAACATATATAAGAAACAACAACAATACAAATAACAATACAAACATAACAGCAAACTCGACAATAGAAAATTTCAAAATGAAAATATATTCACCATTCATACACGACAAACAAACAATACTCAAAAATATAAATAATATTAAAATTACTAAAACTAAAAAATTGTTCATTTTTCTTGTTCTTTTAAATCTATACCTTTTATGCCTTAAGAAAAATCTGTAGTTCTTTTTATTTTCTATTTTTGAACATTTTTTCTTTTAACTAGTTTTTTGTTTTTGTTTCTTTTCTTTTTTTTTTTTTTTTTTTTTTTGTCTTTCTTTTTATCGATATTTATTTATTTTAATCTTGCTTAACTTCATTTTCAATTATCTTTTAAATCAATTTATGTTTTTTCAATTCTTCTTTTTTTTTTTTCCTTTTTTTTTTCTTTCTTTTTTCTTTCACCGTTAAGTTAAAACACCCGCCATTTGCGATGTCATTGCAAAGTCCCATAAATTTACATAAACTTACATAAATTATATTTATGTAATTTTTTACCTTCAAGATTAAAGTGAAAGCCTGCACCTCAGCATCGTGGCAATATATATATATATATATATATATATATATATATATATATATATATATATATATATATATATATATATATATATATATATATATATATATATATATATATATATATATATATATATATATATATATTGCCACGATATATTTTTTCAAGGCAAGTAATAATATATATCTTAATATATTACACCAGAACTTAGTTTAAGTTTTAGTTTTAGTTATAGTGATACTTCGTAACTTATAGTAATACTTCAATCCTTCGTATAATAATATATAAAACGAGCAATATATGCACGAAGGCTTCGCGCTTTTATACAAGTAATTTTGAATTCATTATGCATTTTAACACCCACAAGGTGTTCTTTAGTTCTAAAGCAAAAAAATGTAGAGTTTGTAGTTTATACTTTTTTATCTGTTTAATTAAGATAATCGGTCAATTATAATCAGGTATTTGTTTCTGTTTTTTTTATTTTTAAATACTAAATCTTTACTTTTAAAATTTTTGGAGATATTTTAAATTTTTATGAGTTGTATATAACTTTAAACCACAATTCATGTGTTGTATGTATTCTTCAACTTCAGAAACATGCAATCCGATCAATTAATTTTACGGATTGATACACCATTCCAAACCATTTTTTTGTTTAAATGAAAATTCTTAATATATACGAAAAAACATTTTTCGTATATTATATTGTATATTGATAAAAAGATTTTAATGTTTTATGCTTTAAATATATGAGGAAAAATGACTTATCCTTATCCATTTTTAAAGATCATTTTTTTGTGAAACTATTAAATAAATATGCACTCAGAAATAATAAAATTATATATGAACCCTTCTGTCGAACCAAGTTTAATCAGTTTTGTATCACATATCATGCGCTATATCTTTAGAATAAATTTTTTTTTTATCCAATTTTTTATTTTATTTTCAAACTACTCCTAACAAGGCTGCAAGCAACTACTGTTAAGTTGGAGTTAATAGAAAACTTAACTAAGTTGTGTGAGTTACTAGAAAAAAAGAGAAAAGAGTTAAAGAGCAAGGAAATAAAATTGTAGGTTTTATAAATCAGGAGAACATTAAGATGAGAATAGTTCCGAAGGGTTGAAGTGCAGTGAATAAATAGAGTCAAATAAAAGTTTTTTGAGCATGCATGCACAGAGCATGCATGCACATGCTAACTTTGCGATCGGTTCTGTTTATGGTTTCCAAGAGAGGTCAGCAGTGAATGATAATCAAAGAGGGCGTAAAGAAGAGAACTCAATTAGAGGATTGACATTCATCAATAGAGAAATGTCGACAGTATTGCAATAGTTGTTTGAAGTAAATAACTGGGTTTTGTTGGAGTTAAAGTTTACAAGCCACTGCAAACCCCAATCTGTTACTGAAGTGAGATCAACTTTTTACACAAAAAGTCATTGTGAAGACAGGAGTATAAAGTTGAATTGTCAGCAAGTAGAGCCACTTTAGATGTAAGATTGACTGGAAGATTATTAATGTAGATAAGAAACAAAACAGGACTAATAATTGCACCTTGAGGTACCCCATAAGTTATTAAAAATGAAGAAAAGTGTTGCCCTTCGAGGATGACTTTAATAAAGCGGTTAGAAAAAAAAAGTTTAATCTGTCAAACTTTTCCGGACCATATGAAGCAGGCTTATGGAGAAGACCAGCATGCCAATCGTTATCTAAAGCTTTAGATATGTCAAGAGCAATAACTCTAGCCTCGCCGCAATTTTAAATATGAACTGAAAAATTAATTATCTCAATGATGTGGTCAGATACTTTTAATTTTAACTATATACTTTTTTTTTGTAACTTTTATTGTAAAATGCGTTAAATTTTGTTTGTTATTTATTAATGTGGTTTATATAGATGCGTTTTTAACTGGTTCTCATAATAAGATCAGTTTTAATTTATAAAAGTAATTTATTTACTATTGCAACAAATGTAAACCGAAAAAAAAAGCTTCCTCCTAAAAGAATGAAAAAACCCGCCCCTGACTGAGTTAAATTTTAATGAATTTAAAGATGCTTTTAAGTCGAAATAAAGCAACTGGGTATGATGATATTAACACAAATATTAGAATTGATTCCTACAATGTTATAAAAGATGTTCTTTATAAATTTTTCAAAGCATCCATTGTACAAGGGTCAGTTAACTAAAAATAGTAAAAATAACTCTAATCTTTAAAACCGGGGGTCGTACAAGTATAATAAAATCACCCTATTTCAGTTTTTCCAGTTTTCTAAAAAATTTTCAATGAATCATGTATAACTAAACCTACTTTTTTTGAAAATGAAATACTATACAAAAATCAATTTAATTTTTAAAAAAAATAATTCAATCAAGCATGGTATTCTTCAACATACGCGCAATATAACTGACTCTTAAAAACTCTTGTTTTACTCTCGGAGAGTCACGGTGTTAAAGATAAAATTCTGTTATGTTACTAACCGTAAACAGTGTGTTTACAATAAAGATTCTATACCTCATCTAATAATGAATATAGCAGGTGCTTCACAAGGGTCCTACTTTGGCCCACTCATTTTGATAATATACATAAATGATCGTTACTAAAAAAAAATTATTTTTTTTATTGTTATTTAGGTGGCCCAAGAAGACCTAACGGTCTTGTCACATAGCGCCGCGGAAGTCGATTCAACCAGGAAGTTCACGCCTCCTTCTTACCGTGACGCAAAAATATGTCCAAGGCTTGTTTCGAATCTGGATCTTCTGCTTATAAAGCAAACGCTTTAACCACTGACCATAAATACCATAATATATTTCTTAACATTTTTGACTTTTTTTAAAACAACAGTCAAAAAATATATTATGGTATGATATGAAACAAATGTCAAGAAATATATTATGGTATGATATGGAGCAGTTTTAGTTTTTTAAAGATAGAAGATTATTTTAATTAAGAGCATTTTTTAAATTTACTTGCCATATTAGTAAAAGGAATACTAATATCTTTAAAGACAAAAACAAATTTGTGTCAACAGCAAAATTTATTGGGATTAAGTTTGATGATTCTTTTGAGGTTAAGATACATGATAAATGATGCGGCCGTGGCAATTTATATAATTACATATATAAATATACTTTTTAATACCTTAAAAGATAATTTATATATTATAAGAAAAATATTAGTTGTCTTTTTAAGTATTACTATTCACATGATCCCAAAATTGAAATTTAATTAAAAATATAAAAACATTTATATTATCTACTGAAAAAGAAAGCCAAGATAATATATAAAATATAAGTTAACAAATAAGATAACAGTTCTTCATTGAACTTATAAAAAAGTAAAGTTGTCATAAAAAGTTGTCCAACAATCTGTTGTTCTGGCAACAATCTGTTGCCAGAATAAATGTTGTTAAGAGAACTGGAATATCTGAATAGGCTTTAAATGCAAATAGAACTCAACACGATAAACTTTTATAGGCTGCTAACTAAATGGCTCAAAACCAGGAGCAAGGATCTTCTAATAGCCTTACTTCGAGTACACCAGAAAAAATTGCCTAAATTACCAAAAAAACATTAATCAGCAGCTCTTTTAAAATTTATTTTTGAACAGTGGCAGATGATTATGAGTAAAGGTCATAAGAAAAGTTTAAAGTTGGAAGATGTACTAGGTTTGCTTTTAGTATACAAGGTAAAACCAGATGACATTAACAAAAAGAAAGATACACGTGTTAAAAAACAAATATGGGTCAAAGAAAAGCAAAAGGCATCGTTAAACATGTCAAGTTAATTGAAAATGGTATAAAAAAAATCAACATCAGAGGGTAAATAAAAACAACAAAAAAGTAAAAGAAAACTACTAATTTATAAATGTAAACCCAAATGCATTTGTGATGGTTTTTGTGCAGCAAAATTTTTTAAAAACTTTCCACGCTTTGATTACATCAACCACATCAATCAAAACAAAACTGATGAAAATGGAAGTGAGATTAATTTATGTTGCTTTAAAATATATAATTCTGGAAAGTTTGATTTTTTGTGTTTCAATGTTTGTTTCAATCTTTGAATTTTTCCTTTAAAAACTAAAAACATTTTCATTTTATTTAAAAGTTTGTATTTCATTAGCCTTCATATCCTTCATAGCCACTGAGAGGCCTAGGATACCAGACCTCCTTTATTTTACTATTAGGGAAAGGTTTTAACTAAATCATCTATTTTAATAACATAAAGTTTTTTTTTATAAAAACCAGTTAATTAAACTTGATTCAGTTGTGAATATTTAAATAACGTTTAAATAAATTCAGTTAAGTTTGAATAAATTATGAATAAATATGAAAGAAATAAGTGAAACCACAACTTTGACGCAAGCGACAAAGTTGCGGTTTAAAAAAACTCATATCAAGCTAAATTATGTATATTATATTCAATTTTTTTAAATAAGAAATCAATCTTTAAATAATATGGCCGCTTCATTATTGGAAAGGAGGAAAATGATCATAGAAATGCCTAATGGTTGTAAAAAAAAAATTCAAACTACTGCAAAAACAACAGGTAAAGGCTTTTACTGACATTAGTGTACATTAGTGTAAACTTGGAAATTTATAATGAAGGCTTGAATATAATAGAAAAGAGCATTAACGATTTTAAAGTGAGATTAAACTTTCAAGAGGGATTAATCGGCCAAAAAGATGACTCTAACTTTTAAAACAAAGGGTTATTTTGAAATTACCCAGATACAAAATAAAATAAGAGATCGATGACGATTCAAAACATAATAAATTAACAACTGATGGACTTAATGAAGATGAAGGCTGGAAAGTAAGTAAATTAGAAGGTTAAAAAAAATTATGAAATTGTGTTTATATCCAACTTGAACAAACCCATACTACTGCAAAGAAAGAAAAAAAATAAGAAATAATAATAGTAAAACTTTTATATTTAAAGTTGATTTATATATATATAATATATATATATATATATATATATATATATATATATATATATATATATATATATATATATATATATATATAAAATATATAATATATATATATAATATATTATATATATATATATACATATATATATATATATATTATATATATATATATATATATATATATGTATATATATATATATATATATATATATATATATATATATATATATATATATATATATATATTATCAATTTTGATATGATTTGTCTCACGTAAAAATTCTAATAATACGTGATAAAACTTTTTTTGTACCTTTTTTTTCTTTTAAAATAATTGAAAGGAACTAAACCACTGCAGGCTCATGGTTTATTGGAGCCATTTTTCTCTAAATCCTGTTAAATAGACTTCTGCAAAGAGTATTGCTGACTACAAACATTGCATCAATGTCATACTTCAACTGGCTCACAATCAATAGCTATAGCCATAAATAGTTGCTAACTCCATTTTTAAATAAGCAGTTTTTAAATACATAAAGATGGTTGATGTTACCCATGTATTCTAAGTGCTGTAAATAAATCACTTCTGATTGGTATGTAATTTTACTTCTGATTATTATGTATTATCATATGCATGTGCTATCATGTGAGTAAAATGTTACTTCTTGAGGAACCAATACTGCATCAAGTTCCCAGTAAATACGAAAACATTTAAAAGACGTCTTTTCAGAAGCCTAAAAACGCCAAAAAAAAAAAATTTGTAGACGTTTAGATAATAAGAGATAAAAACGTCTTTATAAAAAATGTCTTTAAGACATTGTAAATAACATTCTTCTAGACTTGGTAACGTTTTGTAAGTCTTCTAGACTTTGTAAGTCTTCTAGTTTTTGTAAAGATGTATTCGAGTATGAGACGTATATTTGTGGAAACGCGTGGTATTTTTGAAAATAGATCAATAACAATTATTTTCAAATACAGATAAAATATATACGTATAAACACATATTATAAAAAGTAAAAATATGTTATGTATTTAAAAAACTAAAAATAATAAAGGATGAATACAATTTATTTGCGGATACAACGAACAAATACATTAAATATATATATTTTTGCTTCTGGGTTTATAAAAATTTAAAAGGCGAAAATTATGGAAGTACTATCACTATCATCGTAAAGTATGAATCAATTATTTATTAGAAAAGATAAGTATTTTTATTTTTTAAAAACCATTTCTTAATAAAATCTTCTTAAGTAGATTTTAATATTATTTATAACAGTATAGAAACGTGACGATTTTAGCGAATATTTTTTTTCGATTTTAGCAAAAGTAATTTTTAACAAAAAATATCTAAGAATTTGTTATTTAAGTTAATTACGCTGTTATAAAAATTTGAATTAAAAATAGTTCTTGTCACATCACTTTGTACTCAATGCAATTAAGGGTGGAATGCAAGAAGCGAACTTGAGTCAAGCTCGACTTGAACTTTACATTGCAACCAATAGCGACAGAGTATGGGTTTTCCCCTCAAAAAATACTCTGCCGCTATTGGTTACAAAGTAAAGTTCAAGTCGAACTTGACTCAAGTTTGCTTCTTACATTCAACCCTAAGGTATGAAAAACAAACTCGTTAAAAAAAAAAGCCGATAATTTAAAACAAATTCGATTGGTTGTTAGTGGCAAACCGAAAAACGTTTTATTTATTGGTATTTAATTTATGCAAACAAAGAATTCGAATTGAATGTAAATTATTCATAAACTTTTCCGCCTCAGTTTTTTAATTGTTTACGCATTGTGAATGTAATAATTTATTATTTTAAGATGGCCGAATAAGTCCCGAGTATTTCAAAAAATGATATTAAATACCGAAAACAGTTTTTTAAATGGGGCTAAAAGTTATGATTATTTATGCAAAAACGACTTTGGTAGAAAAATTTACCATAGGTTATCTAAACTTTACTAATCTAAATCTAACGTGACATTATTGTTGAACATTTAGATGTGGTTTTGAAAATAGTAATTTCAATTTTCATAAAAATATGGTTTTTCATTGATAATTTTCCCACATAATTTCTGATTAGAAATGTCAAGTTGCTTTCATTAAAAACAAAATGTAAAATGTTTTAACCTTAAAACATTTTACTAAAAGATTTATTTACTAATTAACAATAATTTATTATTTACTGAAGCTTAATTAGGTACTTAGAAGTAAAAAGCAGTGTCAAAAAATGTTTACATTGTTTATAAAACTCGAATTAAAAAAAATAATTTAAACGATTTTATTAAAAGTTTTTTTTTAATGTTTACGTTTCTACAACAATTACGGCTTCTACCATTTCGAATGGGGGGATAACATTACAACCACGTGACAACCTCGAACTAATCCATATGTCCTAATTTTTTTTTCAGAAGTAATTCTTAATGTAATTTTACTAATTCAATTTTAAATTGACAATCAACAATGTGACAATTTTAAATTGACAATCAACAATTTAAATTCAACAATGTTTATAAGCATTGTTGAATAGATAACATGTGATATCATTGTATGTTTATAATGGGGCCATCCATAAAGGACGTCATCCAAATAGAGGGGCATGGGTCGAGTTAAAAAGGACAAAAAAGGACAAAGGGAGGGGGAGGTTGTCAGAAAAGGACGTCACTTTATATATTTTTTATCTTAGTTTAATTAACATGGAAAACTACGTAAACATGTGTTTTTGAGAAGATAATGTATGAGAATATTTTTAATTTTATTTTTTAAAGGTGTAGAAGCAGATTCAAACATCATTGCAAGATGAAATAAATTTTTTTGGAGTTAAAAATAGGGAGGGGGGTCAGGATTTTGTGACGTTCTTTTCCAGGGGGATATAGGGTGACAAAAGGGGGGGGAGGGGTCAAAAATTGGCTAAAAAATGGTGACGTCCTTTATGGATGGCCCCAATGTATGTACGTTTATAAGCATGCCGAAATTTAGTAATAAATAAGAAATAGATGACACAAATTCCGTATAGAAGTTATCTATACTTTAATATAAACAGTTTGGCGGTTAATTTGCGCAAAAATGTTGTATAGAATTCAAATTTAAAATTAAAAAAAAAGTAAAGAAGTGATTAAGATAAATCTTTACATTGTTTTACATTATGTTGTTGTTTGAACAATTTTAAACACAACAGATTTTTAGCATTTTTATAATCAATTCTTAACAACTTCTTGGTTCTTTTATATCCATGATCTCTTAACCACGTGATACAATTATTCTTAACCACTTCTTCACGTGATACAATTATTCTTAATGCTTTAATAAGCACTTCTACTCGTGAAGACATCATGTGATACAATTATTTTTAATGCTTTAATAACCGCTTCTTCACATGTGATATAATTATTCTTAACTCTTTTATAACCACTTTTTTACGTGATACAATCTTTCTATCTCTCGTACAGCTAACCTTACTACTTTCTCATAATAACTTCACTGAACAACTATTGCAAATCAATTTTTAATTCCAAAAAAAAAAAGAAACTATGACATAATAATGCATGACGTAAATATTAGTTCATATTTCTTCACTGGAATAAAAATTGTATCATTTGTTCGGTACGTCTTCATAATGATTTTCTTATAACATTCTTAATTATCAAAAATTCTATAAGGATTTTCTCTTATTTTTCGCAATGTTATCACCTCATTCAATATGACTGCCGTTGCGATTGTTTTCGTTTGACGTCAGAGCGACTTAATGGATATGCTACAGGGACTTATCAATTTTGAAATCAGAGTCTTTATGTAAAATGGTGAATGGGGACCTTAGGCAAAAAAAATGTCTCAAAGACGTTAAGTCCTCAGCAACTTACTCACAGTGTATTCCGTAAATTTGCCAACAATTTTAAAGCTTCTTACACCTAGCAAAGTTAGACGATTTTCTCCGGTGCTTATAAATAAATCGCGACGTTAGAATTATCTTTTTTTATTTCCACATTTTTGAGTTTTAAAATAAAACAGTTTAAAAACTAACAACTTTAGGAGATTGCGTATAAAAATATTTTTATAACTTTTGTTTTCTTTGTTACTTTTTTATTTATGAATTAGGTTTCAATACAGTAGAAAAACATTTTTCTGAGGTACATAACTCGTTATGTACCTCAGAAATTTGATTTAGCAAATTGATTTATTGATTATGTTAACACAATAAATTAATTTTTTCAAAAAGTGGAGATACTTTTAACTTTGCGAAATGATAATTTCAAAATAAACATTTTTTTTTTTTAAACAAACAAACTATTAATTATTACATACAAAATAAATAAAAGTTTGAATAACGGTTTTCTAAATTTTGGTAAAATTTTCTTAGTTTTTTAAAAACCGCTTTGAAATTTGATTACCAGTTTAACCGCTGTCCGGGTTTTTTAAATATTTAAAAACAAGTTTTCTTAGTATTTATTATACAGTATTATTCTAAGTTTTTAACTGCAAATCTAAAGAGTACTTGGATCAGTAGCGTAGCGACAAAAAATAGGCCTCCCAGCAAAATTTTAATCCGGGCCCTAAAAAAAAAAAATTGTACACGAAAACAAAAGCCTTATTTTTAAATACAATTTTGATTTAATTTAATGGAAACAAGTATGTTACATGTTGTATAGCTAAGAGTTTGTAATTCTTAGCTATACAATAATAGCAAAAATGTGATTAAATATATTTGAAAAATTTGGCTTAGGCCCGTAATAAGTCTAGGCCCTCCTGCGGCTACCGGCCCTGCGGGCCCATCGCTACGCTTCTGACTTGGATCCAGTTTCTTATAAAAATAAGTACAACAGAAAAATTTTAAACTTAACATAATTTTGCGACTATTTGCATCCATTTTGATTGTTGTATTTTAAC